ATATATATTTATATATAACTCAATCTTCAATAAATGCAAAACTAAAAACAATAATTTCATGTAATAATCTCACCGACTGACAAAGGATTTGCTAAGGCTTTAGGTACCTATAAAGGCATGGTCTCAAATGCTAGCTCTTAGAGAGGCTTTGGCTCCCAAGTTTTCCAAACATCATATCTCCATAGTTTGTTTATATTAAATGGTATCCAGAAGAGTGGCCTCCAAGAAAATTATAATAATAATAATAAAACAGGTGCCAAAGAAGGCCTTTTTCCACACCATATGCCACCATTTGACGCACAATTATCTCTAATAATTTGTTTTAACAATATAATTAACTATATTAATCAATAAACGCAAACTATTATACAAGCCAACAAGCTCATACTGTCGCCTAAACCACTTTCGAAAAGGGCACTTGGGATCCCAATTTTTGTAGACATGAATATCTAATCTAGGGGATCAAAACAAATAACAAAAGAATTCGCGCAAAAAGCTCTACGGTAACCTACTTATTCTGTAAACCCAAAAAAAAAAAAAGAGAGAGAAATGAGTCTACTATTTTAGGTAAACACAAGCGCCCAGTCTACAAGCCTTCAAGAACTCAAAATTATTTCTTTGGAAAAGATTATATTATTAAGAGATTGTATACAATTAGACCATTTCCCATTCACACATGGAGGTCACAATTACTTATAACCATCCAATAGTTTGAGTGTCACAAAATTTGAAAATTTTTTTTTCGAAATTTGAACTTGGACGAAAATAAATACAACCATCAAATTTCACATCCAATGGTCAAGATTAATCATCACTCCCTTGTACCCAAGATAAATGGTTTCATTAATATAATTTTCCTTTTTTTAAAGTCAAAGACGTGCACAATTTCAGTCCAAACAAATCCCTCGAGCTTTGTTTCGAGGCTCGGCTCATATTGTAGCCATTAACCTAATGGCTTATAGAATATTTTCATCTTAAAGTCATGAAGAAGTTCCCAAGAGAGAAAAACAAGGTATGCTTCTAGAAATGATCACAGATTATCATTAAGGACTAAGACAGATTAGAAGTTTGAAGAGTATATAGCAGCATTGTGAAGTGTGAACAAACAACAGGTAAAATCAGGAGACTAAAAGTTGAATGAGAAAATAGCACATTAGTAAAGTTGAATGAGAATATAACACATTAGTAATCATACAAGAGGTAAAGTCACAATGGTTTACACCTTCCTTCATCCCAACACAGAAATGGAAAGAGGTTCACTAGTACACTAAGGCTCTCATGTTAAGACTGCCAATCAAGGAAGGACAGACTTTACACCCTAGAAGACAAAGCTAAGAGAATGGTTAACAAAGTTCTTTTTTCCTTTTTTCCCCTTTTTTATTAATGAAGGTCAAAATATTTTCGAGACCCTGAACCTGTTCGCTATGTCCTTTGCTTTACACGCCTTCCATTGCTATCAGTCCCATCAAAAGCCTCGTTTTGGTGCCGACATGTTATAATCGAATGCTCCCCCACCCTTGCCACATATTCTAGAAGCTCGGTAAGAACAGGTGGGCAGCTCTGCTTCAAATATTCGAACCCCTCGGTCTGCATAACCGCTGTATCCAGCAAACAAAACACCAGTTAAGATCATCAGAGTCCCTTATCATTACTTGATCAATTCATTCATTTCACCTGGTAAACAGGAATGGTTACCATTTTTTTTTGGAAAATGCTAACTTTAACAGAAAATGAAATGTTACTTTGTGTAATAAAATTCCTTGACATTCTTTTTCAGGTAATGAAATTAAGTAGGCATTCTTTTTCAGGTAATGAAATTAAGTATTAGTGCCTATGCACTTTAAATTTAGCCCAAATCACCGGCCACCCTCTTTCTTCCCTTCCTTGGCCTTCACTAAGCCTTTGTCAATTAGACTGATAAACACAATATCAAGGTTTCAAAAAACAGTCCGCCCAGCGCTTAGGCAGCCTGAACAAAAAAACCGCACACCTCTACCCAGGCGGCCCTACACGGTCGGTTGTACCTGGGCGGGCGCCCAATGTCCAGTTCTGTAGGCGCCCAAGACCATAAGGCGTTTTTCGATTTTTAAATTAGCCCAACAGGGGTCATTTTGATCCCAAGTTTGTATGGCGGGTGCCCGTTTTTCGATTTTTAAATTAGCCCAAAAAGGCAAAAGGGGTCACTTTAATCCTATAAAAGTATTATGGGGTTTATTTTTTAACCCCAAAAGTGAAAAAAAAAAAAAAAAAAAACCAATCAATCTCTAAACTTATTGCACCACAGGGCGCCCGAGGTTAACTTATTGCACCACAGGGCGCCCGACGTTCTAGGGGCCCGCCTAGGAGCCAAAAGGGCCGCCTAGCTAGCGTGTTTTGAAACCTTGCCCTATCATAATGTTTTAGATATATTGGTTTTCCCGGGTGATATCTTATACCATGGCAATTCCATTGAAGATTGCAGCATATATGGGTGGCCACTAAATAATCCTTTGAAATCCTTACTCTGATAATTATGCCCTATGACTGCTTCTGAAAAAGTAAATGACATTTAAAACTAAGAAATATCGAGAAATAAGCAAAAATTGATTAATAACTTGGTTTGCCAGAATATTACTCCACAATGACAAAACAAACATAAAGTGATAATTATTTTGATTTTAACAGAACAGTGTTCAAAAACTTAGCTAAGTCCACTCGGACTTGGCCCCTTAACAAGCCGACTACTCAGGCACAAACCTGGGTAAATTAAAAAATTCATTAAAATCACAAAAAATATATATTTTTAAATCAATGTATGAATATTTTACAAATAATTTTGATGGTTTTGATGATGATTTGCAATTTTTTCTTGTCATATGCCCCTTTTTTGTGATTTTTCTGAAATATTTCCAGCTATAAATCATTTTTTCTAAATTCATCTTTATATATTTTTTCTATATTATTTCGGACTTTTAATATTGTTTATGGTTCGCTTTTTACTCTTATTTTAGTCTTACTTTTAGCCCTTTTTGGGCCCATACAATACTCTGGAGACCACTTGGTACCCAAGTTACGCGATAGGAGGGGCCTGAGTCCGAGTCCCACGCCCAAGGCAAGTTTCAAACCACAAAAAAGAGTATGATACCGGTTGTCTAAAAGACACTTAGTATTGGGGTTTCCTTCAAAATTAGTCCCCAATAAATAAGAAAAGAGACAGAAGGTTTAATTCAGCAGAAGCAGCCTTAAAATCCTTTGAGAGCATACATTTCATAACAGTAATTTTATTTCCTTTAAAACTGCAATAATATATACCAACTGATTATGATTCACGGTCGGGAGTCAAGACTATTTTTTTTTCCCTTGAAAACCCCGACTGGAAAGAAGGCAGAACTTAGAGGGACCAAAAAAAATTCTTAATGGGGGCAGAAAAAATAAAGTAAAATTGTTAAGACATAATTCAGTGAAAACTAATATCCCACTAAGCCTCACTCCCAAAATAAATAAAGCTTACAATCTAATATCTACACTGTAAGTACCTTTTTTTGAATGATGATGTTTTCATCACGTTTCTTTTATTTGTTTAGTAATATTTTTAAAAGTTGAACACTCGGTTTTTGATGTTGAATGAAAGTTCTTTATCCATAAAATTTTTTCTCAATGAAACACAAATAGCGATTGGCTGCATGACCGACACATTCTGGATGGGCAAGCATGCAATGCACCTGAGTTGTCCATTCAATCAAGTTTATGGGGAAAAAGATAAAGAAGGTCCTACCTGCAAGATACTATGCAAATGTATGTGGGTATGAATGCATGCAGTAGTGTGTCCAGCAGAATAACCAAGAAATATGTGTGTGCATGTGTGTGTGTATGTGTGCGTGTGAGTGAGAGAGAAAGAGAGAGAGAGAGAGAGAGGAGGAGCTGTTACCTCTCAGATTGGTGGGTAAGGCCACAAACTTGAGGCACACAGATTTCAGCTGGAAACAGTGGTGCTGCTCTGCCAAGGCTAACGTGGTTGCCACTGTGTTGATACTGATGTCCTCGCAAAGTTTAACTTCACATAGCAACCTAAGCCTTTCCATGCCATAACGATCAGCAGCAGCTAGCAAATGCTGGGCCATTAGGGTGGTAGCGCATTTCGAAGTTAAGCCAGTGAGTTCTTGCATGTCTGGTAGTGTATCTGTGTAAATAAAATGGAGTAAGGCCTGCGCGAAAGCAGAGGACTTACATCAATCTATATCTGGAGGGTGCGAGCACAAAAAAAAATCCAGAATAAATAGGTTGCTTCTATATGCAACCTACAAGATCTACAAATTATCAAAAATACAAAGGAAGAGTAAAAAGATATTTGAATTTTAAATTACAATTATAAAAGCAATGATGCATTAGCCAAAAAAGAACAACAAATAATTGATACTAAACTAAGTCACAAGAACACAGATACGACTTGTTACCTGAGGGCATTTTCCACCATCGGAAAAGGTGCAACAGAAGGGGGCGCTCATAAGCATCACATGATGTGCGATGCACCCACATAGGCAGTAAATCATCCGAATATTTGGCCGTCTACATTCAGGCGGCATATGAGGACCATATTGACCAAGATGGGGTCCTGGGAAAAATAGAGATCTTGGAAGCATGCTTTGTTTCGACTCATATTTCCGTGTATTGGCCAATGGAACACCACAAGCGTTTAGTTTTCTTACCATCTTCAAGGGATATATGCCAAGGGGATCCTCTTTCACCCTTCTTTTTTACTATTATTGTGGAAACATTCACTAAAACAATTGAAGAGGTGTACATCAGCTGGTTCTTGAATGGTTTCAGATCCCTAGGACATGGGCTACCCATAAACCACCTTCAAGATGGGGATGATACGATGGTACTCTGCGATGCAAAACCACAGCAGGTTGATAATTTGGGGCTATACATGAAATGTATTGAAATAACATAGTAACATCAGGATTGAGAATCAATATGGCTAAGACTAAACTCTACGGGTTGGGGTTCCAGAAACACAATTAGTGGAGTGGGCTCAGACTCGGAATGCATACTTGAGAATCCTTCTGCGCATTCAGAGGCATAAGAAACATATTTGGGATCATGGCAGTGTCAGTACCTTTCTAAGGGACGAAAGATTTTGCATTAAGGCCACATTCCAATATATAATTGTAACATGTCCCCATAATGGATGCAGAGGCATGTTACTAAGAAAATAGCAAGGCTACAACGGTAATTCTTATGGGATGGGACAGGAGGGGGCACAAATTCCACTTGGTGACATAGGATATGGTTAGCAAATCAAAGGATTCCAGGAATCCAGATTTTAGGAAGCTAAGAGAGGTAAATAGCGTGGAAATGGATATGGAGATTTGCAACAGATCAAAGCCAGAATCGAATCATATCCGGGATCAGGATTGGGACCGTGAGGTTGCGACAAGCAGGAGCTACTTATGGTCTAGATCACGGTCTATACACCCTGAAATCTAGGGATCTCAATCCCAATATGTGGGCGAGCTTGAAACAAACTTAATCAGATTGAATGATAAATTATACAAGATGGGGCTCCATCTAGTTAAAAACTGAGGCCCCAGAGAGCACTTAAACTAGTATAGCAGTTGAGTGTAGACTTACTTCTATACCATACCACACTGATATACAGCAATATATTACTATATTATAATACTATAATACTATGCTCTACCATAGTAACCATACTATACAAAAATGGGAAAAGTTTTTATAATGTTGCAACCTTAAAATGTAGAATAAATGTGCACCTCAAAAATCCATCGAAAAAGGTCATTTTGATGTTGGAAAACCCTCTAATATCTCGGCATCGAAATAAATGAATATGAAAAAAAAAAAAAGGATTTCATGTCTCAAAAATAGTGCATCTCGCAACGCATTATCTGAACCGTCCATTTTTAAGATTTTCATGTGTTTATAGATCTAGTTGATTTGAACTATTATTAGAGTTTAAAATTTTATAATTAGAGATAAAAATAGATTTTGAAGGCATCACAAAAAAATTGGCAACAAAATTACATCTTATAACAAAATTTAGAGATGCACCTTAATTGGATTGTTTAAAGTTGCAACCTTATGCAAACTACACCCCACAAAAATATACTACTACACCATGCAACAATACCACGCTATATACTATACTAGATGCTATTACATTTTTAGCTTAATATATACAACTATAAATAATATATACTATCCTATATAGTATATATTACCTATAGGATAAATTACTATATCACACTGCTACACCATATTGTTCTGCTATACTATATCACCATGCTATTTGGATCCTAGTAACTCAGGATCTCAATCCCTAATAGGAAGGGTCAAAATTCCAAAATCTACAAATCTTGGAGGAATGAGATTCCCTTCCCTAGAGCACAGGAGCACAATTTAGAAGAGGACCCCTTGGTTCAAAGATCCCCATAGCTATGATCAAAACATATTTGGTTCTAGGTGGATAGCTAACAAGAATGGCACTGAGCCATTGAGTTGACTACCTAAGATGGCGAACTGATGCAAGAAGGAAAGGTGGGAAATTAAATCCACCCTTTTCCTAAACCTTAGACAAGTAAAATCAACAATAATGAAGAAAACATATGGCCTTTTATATAAGCCTAAGAAACCCTAAAATTAACTTGATATCCAAGTACACATTTAAGACTCTAAAATACCCCTATAAATAATAGGGCATGAACAGTGAACAGTACTCATGAACATTAAATAAAATCTAAAAAATATAAAGAAGTCCCTGAATCCTTAAAAACTTAAAGACCCTAAACATAAACCCTAAAATTAAAATTCTGATATACATCCTTTGAGATTGAATAAAAAATATAAATAATAATAGTTTGCCCCTCCATCAATACTGTTGCTGGATACCTTTGTAATACTCTCTTGTTCACAGCCCAGAATTTGTTATTTTTAACGGCTTTCTTTTGGAATAACAAATTTGGTTGTCATACCCTACTTAAGAATTTCTGGTTAAGGGTTTGGATTAGTGAGGATCAATGTTCAATAAGAGGCCGCCGCCTAGGCGGTGGGGGGAGCCAGGGGGCCTAGGCGCCAAGGCAGCCGACTAGGTGGGTGCCCAAACCCAAAGGCAGCTGGTGTTTATTTTTTTTAAAAAAAAAAAATTAGGATTTCCCATACCCCCCCCCCCCCCCCATTTTATTGTATATAGAATTGTCTGTTTTGTACATAATATATTGTTAAGATGCCAGAAGCCAGATGCACAGATCAAACCTAAACATTCACAAATTTAGACTGTAAATGAAATAATTATAACTCAAAAGCAACATTAAAAGATAAAATCAACTCAAGATGTCATTTAAATCTTGCAAATCACAAGTCACAAAAGTTTCAAAAGTCATTAGCAAAAAGTCATATGAACTCATATCCGAATTTGGGCCAAACAGAAATGTTTGGGATCCCAAATCTCCTCTTTTACAACCCTGATAAGCCTCAAAAAGATTGGGGACGAATATCCTTCAATATCGTGACCATTTGAGGATTTCGATCTCTCAAAAAATATTCAAATCTAGTTTTTTTCAAGTTGATTCTTACTCTAAAGTTCACCAAATTTGTTTTTGGGGGCAAAAATGGCCCCCCAAACCCTTATCCCCCCTTTTAAGGGGGTAAAATGACATTTTTTGCCCCTCCCAAATTTTTTTTTCCGCCAAAGTCGTGCAGCCCGCCTTTTCAACTGCCTAGGCAGGCGCCTAGTTCTGCCCACCTAATAGTGTCCGCCTTTAATACGCCTAGGCATTTTTTCCAAAAGTCCGCCTAGGCAGGTGGATGAATTTTTGTTCATTGGTGAGGACTTCAAGAATCAGTGAGCGGAAAATGATTTTATCATGTTTTTGGAGTGGAATTTGCAAACTTTGAGGTTGCACAACAGGGTCTGAAATTCATTAACTTCCTAGTGGCTAAGATTTCAAGGAAAAGTCTGTGTCCCTATGATTTGTCCACCCACAAGGTCGACGGTGCTGGAGATTTGCACTGCCAAATCAGCTGCAATGTGAAAGAGTCTACTATTTTGATTATGCAATGTATCAATGCATCTTCTCCAAGCCAAAGATCCCTACAAACTTATAAGTTGATCCCCTGTTATAGTAAAGAACTGATATGTTTGCATTGCATCTTGGATTCATGATGGAGGGCAAGATTATGCTTATTTTTAAGTTTTATTCAATTTCAAAGGTTATAAATTTTAATTTTAATTTTAGGGTTTATTTTTAGGGTCTTTAAGTTTTTCGGCATTCTACAACTGCTTTATTATTTTTATTTACTATTCATTGGTTACTATTCGTTATTATTTTTATTTACTATTCACTGGTTATTATTTTTATTTACTATTCACTGGATACTGTTCACAGGGGTAAATTGTCATTACAAATTTTGTGTTTAAGTTCTAACTTTTTGGGTCATCTTAACTCAAAACTGACGGCTCAATCAAGTCCCATAAAAATATCTCTTGAATCAGCTTATTACTATGAAATTAAGAATGTGGAAGATTTGTCCAAGTTTAGAGCATGATCAACTAAAAGAAGCCAATGTAATCTTTTTGTAGTAGTCCTTCTGTTTGTCAAATTAAAATTAATTGAAGATAAAAACCTCACTACGCCCTTAAATACAGGTGCATGCATGTTATTCTTAGTAATGACTGCAGCATATGGAAACTTGTGTCATATTTGTTACTTTCTAAGCATCACTACAAAGAAGAAAAGAATAACTAGAAATCTACTGATCGTGGAAATAAAATAGCATATATCTACCTTAAAGACCGGTGCCTCTATGTCCGTAACTTTAATGCAATCCGTATTTTGGTCCTTCATTGGACCCATGAGCTGCGCCCTGAAAACAGGGGAACGAGCAGCAAGAACCAACTTATGAGTAGGAAATATCTCCCCATCAACCTCAAAGCTCACATCTGCTCCCTGTCCACTTTCCAAAAGCTTCCCAAAATGTTCACCAATGTTTGAAGGAGGAACAGGAATGGTGTAAAGTTTTGGCCCCTCAGTGTGAGAACGAACAACGCCCACACTGCAATGTACCGAAAGGCAGTCATCCTTGAGATAGTCTGATGCCTCCAGAGAAGTTCTTTTGAAAAACCTCTTGTATCCCCTGCAAAATTTGCGAACACAAGGCTCTAATCATTATTTGACAAGAACACCTAGTTCTCACGAGAAACATTATAATTCTAGAACACAAAGTATCACAGATTAGTATTCTTCAAAGATAATCTCTAATCATGTTTAAAATTTTAGGCATGTAGACAACAAAAACACTATCTATTCTTATATAAGACCTGCGCAATTAACTGGAAATAAAATTGCATACCAAATAGGACAAAGCTTACTACAAGGATAAGGTCTTGTCAAAGGGGCAAATTACAATTTTCTCATACCTGATCCAGATTGCTTCACATGTATCAGCCTCATATACCAAAAGTATTACACACATGGCCAAATATTTCATGACTTAAACATTCTTCTAGGTGCCATTCACATCATATGCATACATGAATGGCCTAGCATGAACTCTACTAAACCTCGGGTTGTGAAAGTGCCTACATGCATGGGTTATGCACGCTAAGCATATGCATATGTGCAAAACAATCCCTGGAATATTTTTCGTAACTTGCTTCCCAGTATATTTTTAGATGCATGCTCATGTGCAAAAACACACATACAATTGTTTCCAAAAAGCCAAGCATGAACTTAGTATGAATAAACAAATCCAAGCATGGATATGCATGTGTACATGTCCGCATCCGGCCATGCCAGACTAATATACTACATGATTAATACACTAGGGCATGCCTAATGTACGATATAATATATGTGTTTACATCAGGCCATGCGCAAAAACTAATATTCTGCGTGATTAATACACTAGGGCATACCTTATACAATAATACTAGCTACTCCGGGTGATTTAAGCTGAGCATGGCTGGTATTGACATGCATGGTGCATATGCAAAGCATAGTTTCTGGCTTATGGTGAGTTCATAGCGGCAGAGGCACAATTACGATGGAACTGTTGACAACTCACTTGACAGAAATGTATGCAGACACAAGTGTATAAACCAATGAAAATTGTCCTGATGCCAGCACCAATATGAAAATAAGCTGCTCCCTTATAGTTTCACAAACAACTAACGATATATTGTTCATTTATTCTAAGCAAATACAATAAAAGAGCAGGCTACCTTTTTTTTTGTTTAATAAGTGCAGTAAAGCGTCCTATATTAAGTTTCATAATTCAACACATTATTCTACCACTGCAAAAATACACACCACTAACCCATGCAACCTAGGTATCATTGCACAATATGATGAGAGGTACAACACGCCCGCACATGGTTCAATCTGTCCGTTAATTGAGTTCAATAAAAAAAATTCAACTAATGTAACAATTATTGCTCTTCTTTTTGCATATCATTGAAATGCCAGCTTCTTTGGTGCGGAAAGCTTCAGATTTTGATTTTTATCTTCCCTAAAAGATATGGAGAAAATGGTTATAGGTGATGCAAGTTGAGGACAAGTAAACAAGGACCCGATTGCCCATTTGCCTAATATGTGATGTGAACAGTTTTGTCAATGATTTGCAGCAACTATTTTTCACATAAGGCCTGTTTCCTTCTAAAAAATACAAATCACACTTTTTTTAAAGAGCAAATTATGGTGGTTTCTTAAATATGGAGCGCATTTTGGAGTCTGCATCCATTTATTATGTTCGGAGGTGAGGAAGGGAAAATTCTTTCAACAATGTCTCATGGTGGAGGTGACCGTGGATAACATGAGGCATTAATTTCTTGGGCCATGGTTGACAAGAAGTTTAAGGATGATAACATTTAGAAGCATATATTTTAAAGGTTGTTATCAAGGCACTTCATAAGCAAAGGATACATTCAATATATGGTAGGGTCAGCCAAACAGATATCACCATCAGAGGAGATTCTGGAAAGTTTACACAACCACAGATGTCATCTCCCATATGAGAGCTAACATGTTAACTTGTCTAATTGGGTTGGCTGTAGTATTCACAAATAATTAGGATTCATTCCTAGCTTTGTAAAATTTTAGCAGGCTAGCACATTTTTGTTAATAAGGCTTTACTTCTATGGGAAAAAAGGAATACAATGGAGATTTAACCCAATCATTCTGTAGTAGGATTTTCCTTTTATCTGACAACTTGCAAATGATTAACAATTAAGGAATTAAACAGCTTGTATACAAGTTAAACACAGTAGATTTCCTGGAATTTTGAAATTACTTACAAAATACCCGCATAACTCGTGCTGTTCTATTTCTTTCCTTAGATAAAGGAAAAAATATGCCTTGTAACACCACAAGAACTAACTTACAACACTCAATCAGTTCACAGTAAAACATAGTAGATTCAATTATCCGGGTCAAGATTACCATTGCATTCCCTCAATAAAATTTCTTGATCATACCAAACCACAGTAAAATTGAGAGAAAAATCACAAACCAATCTTTAAAAAACTCTACAGAAACAACACAAAAGCAGCATGAGAAAGCATAAACATTGGCACAAAGTTCTTCAAGCTTTAATTATTTTGAATCCCAAAAGATCCCACCCAGAAAACCAAAACTCAGTCCTTTTGTATAAGGAAAACCTAAGACTCAGTTATCAGAAATAACTAAATGGCTAACCCAATAAATAAACTTTCTTTCTTGAAAAATCCCAACAATTATTGTAGTAAAAACCAATTACTGTAAGAACCGAACTAAATGCATAATTGTTTTGTGTTCCTCCAAACCAATTAATAGGCATCCAAATTTCAGAGAACTCCAAAAAACCCAGAAACTACAATAGATATAGTAAATTCCAAATGAAAACCTCGAGATCACCACTACTACATACACTACGTAAATTCCAAATGAAAACCTCAAGATCACCACTACTACATAGCAGAAAGCAATTTCCCATGAACCCATTCATTCCCAATTACCAGTCAATGCAATACCCAAACTTGCAAAGTTGCAAGAAAAATGAATAAGCCGTTCATTCCCAATTACCAGTCAATGCAAAACCCAAACTTGCAAGAAAAAAGAATAAGCCAAAACATCAAAAGAAAACAAAAAGGCCATAAATTTCAAGTAGATCAACAAAATCTCACCCGAAAAGTTTTTTCCTTTTTTTTAACGAAAAAATAATTAACTAGAAAAAATAAGTGCAGAGATATACACACAGAGGAAGAGGGAGAGAGAGTGAAGACGAAGAAATTAACATTATCAAGACAACAAAGAATAACATCTAAAAAGCCAAAAAAAAAAAGAATTTCAAATAAACTAATCTGCATTAAATATGATCCAATTACCAGCAAATTTCTCAATCATTATTAACCCCAAGAAGCCAAATTTTCCAAAACCAGATCTAAATCTCCTAAATCACCATCAACCAACAAAAAGGTTTTTTCGTACTGTACTTTTTGCATTGCCAATTTCCTGATTAGAAATCTGTATCTCAAACCCTAAAGGCAGAGAGAGAGGCGAAGGGAGAGAGATCTAAGCATTCATGATAAGAAACAATTGCATGACGATAGAGATAAAAAGGTATAAGCAGAAACAATTACATGACGATAGAGATAAAAAGGTATACGCATAGAGAGAGGGGCATACCACATACTACCCCGATACTTTAGGGTATAAGGCCCGCTCTCTAGGGTTCTTCCAAAATGACTATGGACTTTGTGTTTGTTCTTCCCACTCTGATCAAATAGCGTCAATTCAAATAATGCCCTAACATCTGTTCCCTCGCTCGCTAGGGCGATGAAGAGAGAGACATAGGTCGAATTGTCCTCTAAACTCTTGCCATCAGGGTAAAAATAGATGGCCCATAGATAACCACCAACCTCAAAAGTATCAGAGGGTATGTATTTGCCAACCCCCATGCCTTTAGAGAGAGAATAGCCTGTGATATTGAAGTGATGGGAACCATTGATGGTCTGGGTCGAGGATGTGGAAGTGGTGAGAGGGGGATTGTTAGAGAGAGAAAGCTTAGATGGGGTCGATCTGGAGATCTTGCTGGTGCTGGGTAAGCCCATGACCAGAGAGAGAGAGAGGGAGAGAAGCGATCAAATTTTGGGGGTTTTTAAGTGAGAGGTTGGGTTCTGGGGCTTGATGGGGAGGGTTTGGTTTTGTGAGCCTTTCTTTTGATGACTGGTTCTGGATTGATTGATGAGGTTTTAAATGGAGAGAGAGAAGGGGCAAATGATAGAGAGAGAGAGTTTTTCCTTGGGCGTTGTAGGTGCGAGAGATGCAGTTTATTTTAGAGAGAGAGGGATTTTGGCTGGTTGTGAACAGGTTTCTCGAGAGGGGGATTTTGGCTTGGTGTGAAGGGGTTTGTAGACAAATAATTTGGCCGCCTTCGTTTTTTGACATTGGAGGGTGTGTTTGAAATGTCTTCTTCGAAGTTTAGAACATCTTAATATTTTTCAAGTTTCGTATTTGATAAAAAAATTGAATTTCAATCAAAACTTCGACAAACTGTTTAAGTTCTAATTATACTTTAAAAAAAATTTCAATTAAAGATTATAACTTTTTTTTTTAGAAAACCCCCATATATAAAATATATATATTTTATTATATAATATACAATATAATTTATTATATAATATATAATATAATTTATTACATACTATATTTTATTTATATAATAATAATTTATAATATTATATAATAAAAATATATATAATATATTATATTATTTTATAAATATATATATATAAAATATAATATAATAAATAAAAAATACAATATCATGTTATACATACATACGAGTAATGATCCCTATAAGACCCTCCTACGTATATTTCTATAAAAGTCAAGTCCCACTCTTTTTACTTTTTAACTAACGGGAGGTTGGGAGGAAAGAGAGCTTGGAGAGAGGGAGGATGCGGCCTTAAGGGAGATTAAGATGCGGGTTGTTTTATGAAAACAAAATAAACTCTCACCTCAAATCTTTGTTTGAAAAGTATTTTTTACGCCATAAAATTTTGAGATGGTTCTAAAATCAATTTTTAATTTTCAATATCGATAATAAAATTTGTAATTAAAAAATAACAATATAAATCTTGCGGATCTATAAACACATTTTTTTAGGGCTAAATAGAAGGTCTAGATAATTTGTTACAATAACTATATTTTTAGAGTTTGAAAAAAAAACAAAAATTCACAACCATAATGTTTGAGCCAAGATGATCCATATAAATGTTTTTTAATGCTTGAATTGTAATTTTCGATGATTATTTTGATAAGATTGTAACCCTATCAAATGTAAAGCCAGGAATTAATGGGTGCTTCCCATGGTCAAAATATTATATAATAATAAATAATGTTATTAAATAAAGGAATAAGTTTATATAAGATTGCAACCTTAAAATGTAAAACTACGGATGCACCTCAAAAATCTATCGAAAAAAATTATTTTAATGTTGAAAAACCATGTGATTGATCATCTCGACATCGAGATGTATGACTATGAAAAATAAAAAGATTTTGAGTCTTATAAATAATGCGTCTTACAACATATCATCTACACCGTTCATTTTTAAGATTTTCATATGTTTATAGATCTACTTGATTTTAATCATTTTTGGAATTTAAAATTTTATAATTAGATATAAAAATAGATTTTGAGATAATCCTAAGAACATTTTACATCAGAATTTTATATTATGATAAAATTTGAAAGTACACCTTAGTTGGATTGTTTAAGGTTGCAGCCTTATGGAAACAGCACCCTTAAATAAAACGTTTTAACCGATATCTTATTTTGACGAAAAATAACCAATTTAATATTAGGTGCAGTTCTATAAGGTAACCTTGAGTAATTATAGTAAGGTGCCCCTCTATATCTTGGTAAAAGATGAAACTTGGTGCCGCAAATACTTACCATGCCTAAAAATATGTTTTTATGGTGTAGATAAATACAAAATTTAAAACTCAAAAAATCTAGATAATTATAAAATTTAATAATCAAAAAATTGTGTAGATTGAGTAGATATATGTCTACTAAAAAATGAATGACACAATGCATTATTTTTAAGACTTGAAGTTATTTTTATTTTTTTGTATTTATTTATCTTGAGATCAAGATGATTAATTATAAATATTTCCAATGTCTGTACAAGTAGAGTTTTGAGGTGCACATTATTTTTATATTATAAAGTTGACACTTTACATAAACTTTTTTTTTAAAAAAAATATTTTTTAAATAGATGATTAAATATTTGGATAGTCTAGAGCTACGGCTTTACCTTGTTTTAAGAAAAATAATAAATAATTTAATATAAAAAATTGTTTCATGCGGGCTCGACCGATTTCTACAATATACGGGTCCAAAGTATGCAAATAGGTGGTCCATCTAAAAACGGTCCAAATGCCTTTTTAATATAATTATTATTTTTAGTTTTCGAAATTTTTTTTCATATTCATGATCTCCATGTTAAAGATTATATATTCTCTAAAAATTAAGATCAGATTATATTAAAAATATAATTATTACAAAACCCTCATTTCTACAATACGCGGGCTGGCCGCATAGAAACCGTGTCCTTTAATATTATATAAGTCTGGTTTGCATAAGACTGGACCTCGTGAAAAAAAATATAGGCCCGCATGTCGAAACCCGGTTGGATATTTAACATTTCCACATTTGAAAGTCTGAACTTTGGCTATCAAACAAAAGTCCAATATGGTACAAATTTTTGAATACTGAAACCTTCATGGTTTACATAATGTGTTATAGGGCTTGAAATCTATATTTTTTTTGCAACTTCATAATTCTCGGATCGAGATGATCAACTTGAGAATCTTGTAATGCAAGGACAACTTTTTAAGTTTTTTTTTTTTTAAGATGTGTTAGTACTTATTCCACAAATGAGCCTTTTATAATTTTTTTCTAATTAATATTTATTTGGAAATTAAGATGAGGAACTTCACAAAATATTCCGTTCAAAAAAAAAAAAAGTTCCTTCACAAAATATTTTAAAGATATTCCAGAAAATATTTCCCAGAAAACCAATATCTGCAAGTTGAACCATAGAGACACCACATACACAAAGATACCAGTCCTCCCACCCATTTCACGTCACATGAAAAGCAAACAGTTATTTACATATCCACCATCTTCCTTAATTACCAATGCTATACATAATTGGATTTCGCAAAATGGAAAGCAACTCTTTTTTTCGATTCGATGCAGTGTTGCAATGTCAAGGCCTCAAACAACCAAGTCCAAGCCCAAGCCCAATTCTTGAGATCAACAACCAATCAATCCTTCAGAAAAAATCAATTATTTGATGCAACAGCATCAAACGGACAATTAAATCAACACAAAAAGTTACAGAAAAAGCACATACATAACCTGATCTCCTTTTATTAGCTAAACACACTCTTACAATCCATCGGAACGATTGCTACCAGTTCTACATACGGCAGGGGGGCCATCACCAGTTTTGCTCACAACCCCTTTTCCAAAATAACTTGCAATCACAGAAAACCCGTCACTCGAGCTTCTCACTTGCTGGAAAAACCTATCGTGGTCTTTGGCATTTTGTTCTAAGCTCCTCTTCATCTCTGTAAGGCTTTTGTATTGTGGCACGCAGACTGGGCATTCCTTCTCATTGTCACCGAGGCATCGCTGGTGAAAAGAATGCATACACATGAAATGAACGGCTGGAAGGTCTAAGGTAAATGTGCATGCAGTGCATTTGCTCAGTTGAAAGATCCTCGCATTCGTCCTCAGCTCATTTATTTCTTTCCTCATGGCAGACGTCTCTTCCTGCATCATAAAACAAAGCAAAATAAGTTTGTCCGTGCTTTTGGGTACATATTACATACAAGTGAAGGAGATTTCCTTCTTCTCGATCACCTAATAAGTGAGTCTGCAATTCAGTCATCTATAAGTCGATGGCTACCCCTTTAAAAAAGATAATCAGCCTTCTTTGTTCAGGAATTTAAGGAAAAAATAAAGGGGGGGTGAGAGAGAACGACTCAGTTGAGAATCTTTCTGAAATCAAAGATTTGATATGCAACTAATACTTTTCACTGTAATCATAACTACAAAGTTCAAAATAAAGATATCAGTGAGAAAATCACATATGCGGCAGAGGTATTAAGCAGTCTTAGATGATAGGATTTTTTGCTATGTCATTTAATGACTAAGGTGAACTCACCTGGTACTTCTCGATGGACTTGCGATCCTCTTCTATCAGCTTCGATTCTTGCTCGAGCTTCCTCGCAATGTAATCCTTGACAACCGAAAGGGTGAGACATGGATTCCTTGACAGAGCTTGAAGAACAATGATGGGTGGCAAAATGTCATCCCTCTCTATGTACACTAACACCTCCTTTACTTCTTTGGAACAATCTTCTCCAAGCTCACCAAAATACTTGAGCACATCTGCCCAAAGTGATGGGTCCCCACCCTTGCTTGAATCCCCAAGTTTCTTGCAACACGTGATCAATCCTTCATGATCATGGTCTTGCATGTAGCATGATATCACTTCCTTATACAATTTCATCTTCTCATACAGAAACAAGCGGCCCTCTCTGACCCCATTCAACTCACAAAGAATGATGGCGAGATCAACATCATACATGGGTTGGTCCATATGTGACGGCCATGCACTTTTGAGCAAGCCCAATCCTTTCTCAAGTCTCTGAAGCCGATCTCTCTCTTTGTATTTATTGTCACCGCTGATGGAAACTCCTGTCGTAACAGTGTTCAAAGGGACAGACTGTTTAATGTTATTAACATCCGTAATCAAGCCTTCTTGAGTTATCAGTGGAAAGCTCAAGTCACGAGACAAATATAGCTCCAAGAGGGTATTGTGGATTTCTACATGAGCTGGTGATTCCTTCACTCTATTGGTATACTTCTCGAAGAACTCCATTAGAGACTTTGGCTGGTGTATGAAAATGCTCATAAAATCGGTAGGGGAAGGCAGCTTCGATGGGTACAACGCGTTTGAGGCCTCCTCCCCTGATTCACCATCTCCAGTGCAAAGCCTCATTAGTATTTCAACTGTCTCAAATGGCTTATGCTCCACAAGAATCTTACCATACTCTTTCAATGTGGTTTCAGCTTGGTTTGGTTCGAGGCTTGATATATACTCCAAAGCCTCATCATATCTATCGAGGTCTTCAAGTAATATTTTCAAGTACCATTCGTGCCTCCCTGCCTTCTTTGCAACATACATTGCATGCTCATGGTATCCAGCCGCACGGCAAACCCTAACCGCAGTTTCAACATCAAACTTGTGCTCTCTGACCCCATCTTCTTCACCTTTTATAAACTCATCCAATTTTGCCACGTCTTTGAGTTTGGTATAGCAATTAAGAAGGAGGGTAGTGTGATCCTTTGAAGCCAATCCTTTCTCATGCAATTTCTCCAGGTAGCTGGTGAGGTTATATATACGCTGTGCATCAAGAAACTTTTGGATGACATAGGAGGGCTCAAGCTGGCCAATGGTGAGAATATATTGAGACATGGCCTCATCATAATCTTGTTTCCCATACAAATGATCCCCATATTTTCGAAGAACTTCAGCAGTAGCAGCAGCATCTGCTTGGTTACTCTGAACGAGATTGATTGCAACAGCATAAAGATTCTTCTTGAAAAGCATATCTAACTTGCTTTCCATATCCTTCTCACCTATACATAAGGCAGTCTTGTCACTCATTATAAGGATTATGTTACCCCATTCACTAAGCATATGTGAAACATCTCCAACAACAATACTATGGGCAATCAATCGGTTCTTGAGATCATATACATTGAAAGTGTTCTTGTTGCCTCTTTGGTCTGATATCACAGCTAAAAGATACCCGCGAAACCAACCAAGGAATTTCTTCTCTCCTTCAAACGCCCAACATGGACCCCTCCCATCGACTTCATAGAAGTAGACAGCCTCAGGTCTGCCAATTACTAGTTCCTAATCAGATGAGGAAGGCAATATATTATCCTGAGTACGAAAGGATGGATGGAAGGAATGTATACTATATATAGTACAGTGGGCCATGATATCATTTATAGCCCCTTGGGGCCCATCACCATCCAATGAAATGATGAACGATGGTTTAAGAGAGAGAGAAGACCACGAACGACGACGACGACGAACCGAACACGTACTACTACTCTCTCTCTCTCTCTCTCTCTCCTCTCTCTCNCTCTCCTCTCTC